GGGATAGCACACATCCTTGTCGCACGCCCTGTGTCACGAAGAACCAGTCCGATAGTTCTCCGTCGTCCATGCGCACCCGAGCCCGCATTCCATCGTGGAATTGGCGGATGACTTGGATCAGCTTCGCGGGAATCCCGGCCCTGGCCAGCACCTTCCATAGCATCTCTCGGTCCACCGAATCATACGGCTTGTTCAAGTCGACGAAGCACAGGTAGAGCGGTATTTTCTTTCTCCGCCCCAGCTCCTGGAGGCGGCGCACGACGAGCAACATGTCGACGGTGGATCGCCCGGGCCGAAATCCGCACTGTTCCTCCGGGAGGATGTTGTTGGCTTCGCAGAAGGCGCTTAGACGGTTGGTGATGATCATGATGGGGACCTTGCCTACGTGAGATAGTAGCGAAATCCCCCCATAGTTGTTACAGTTGGACCGGTCACCCTTGTACAGGACCTTGATGGTTGCATCCTTCCACTCTCGCAGAATATCTCCTCCGTTCCACACCTTGATGGTATGGAGGTGTCCCAGGACGAAGGNCAGGGTTCGTCGTCATCGATCTTGAGCAACTCGGCAGAGAAGGGGTCATAGCCGGGTGCCTTCCAGTTCTTGAGGCCTTTCGTTGCCCGTGCCACCTCCTCGAGTTCTGGCACATCTCCCAACCGTTGAGTGTCACGTGTCGCTGGCCGCTGCGTCACTCGTTCGATGATGTCTGGGTTCAGGGTGGGGGATTTGGTGTTGAGTAGGGTGCTGAAGAATCTCGCCCACCGCTGGAGGATGTCGTCCCTGTTCCGGAGCAACACGCCGTTCTCATCCGCGACGAACTGCTGTCCCTCCGCTTGTCTCCCGTTGAGGCCCACTGANCCGATCTTGGTAGATTTCTTCGAGCTCAGTCACATATCCGTCCAGGTGGGCATAAATGCCCGTTTCGACTGCTGTAGCCACTCCCTTACACGCTGCTTTGAGAACCCTCCACGTCGCTGAGTTCCAGTTGCCCCTCATCGCCCGGCGCGCTTCCCGACGTTTGGTAAGGGCCTGCTCCAGCGTTGCTCGCGTGTCTGGGGTCTCACACCACTCCTGCGTGCGGCGTCTCCGCGGTTCCTCCCCCAGGGTCGTCCGCGCTGCGTCGAGGAGAGCATTGGTAAAGTCGGTCGCCAATTCCGCGGCGGTGGTTGTTCGCTCGTCCAGTCGTGTGTCGAGGTTGAGGAGGAACCGATTAGTCACCGCACACCGTGCTGCTTCGAACTACGATTCCCGTCGGTTGAATTGCTTCTGTTTCGGTTTAGTCCGGACTGCACGCTTGTGGGCATGCCACCGAGGATGACGGTGGCTACTACCATATTATGGTCTGAGTCTGCGTTGACTGGGCGAACCGGCTGGGGGATGACGACCACGTTAGATACTCGGCCGTGATGTGCCTGCCTTGTCAGGATGTAGTCAAGGCGCTTGCAATCGTTTCCCGACACACCGTTGTATGTGTGCCATATTCCGCCCTTGCGTGTCTCAAAAGAACGTGTTCGTGAGAGCTAGCCTGTTATCCGTTGCGGAATTCAACAGTAGCATGCCATTGTCGTTGAACTAATCACGCCCTTACATTCCTATTACCCTTTCGTCCCCTCCGTCCAACCTATCCTCCGCCCGCGCGTTGGCGTCCAGTAGGACATACACACATTCTTTGGAAGGGATCCTCCGTACGAGACTGTCAAGTTTTCCCCAGAACACGCGCTTGCTGTCGGCGGTTGAAGGTTCGGTTGGAGCATACGCGGCTACGAAAGCGACCGCTCCCCACGGTGGCCTGCCAACAGAAACCTCATGGCCATATGGCGTTCGTCGATAAACTCCGTAGTGAACGTGGATGTCTTGCACAGTGACTCTTTGACGGCTATCCCCACACCATGGACTCCACCAGTCTCCGTGCCACAGCAGAACACCCGGAAACCCGCTGCTGCAAATTCCGTTCGACCTGCCCTCCGTGTCTCCTGCATTCCTACCACCGATACGTCTTGTCTCGCTGCCTCGTGTAGAACGCTGTAGGCTCGCCCGTATCCATTGGCCCCGTTTACATCCAAAGTCCGCACATTCCAGGTTGCTACCCTACGAAGTTGACCCTGCTGTCTCTTTCGCGCGGCGCGCGCTGCTCTCTTAGCTAGCCTACGCGCCGCCCGACCCCTCCTTTTCCTCCATCTTCCCCTCTTTTTTTTTGTTTTTTTACTATTTTCTTGCGAACACTCGGGCTAACGTGATAGTTACCCCGGTTCTTGCCTTGTTTCCCATAGAGTTGTCTTCTTGTCCCGGAGCGGTGTGGCCCTCCATCTCTGGACTCTCTCCTTTCCTCTCTCTGGGGAATACCCCCACGGCGTGCGGTCACTCCGCCACCCTCACCGTCCTCTCTGCTGCTGCATAGCCCCGGTGTCCAAGCCGGGGCGTCAGGATCCAGTCTCATTTTGCAGCTACCAAAGCTGGCGGCTCAGGAGCTACCCCGATCTCACGACAGCAGTAACTCCCAACCGCCAAACTCAGGATCCCCCTCTCAATGGTGTTAGGGACCGTATATTCGTCGTTGCTGGGTGGTCTTTCGAGGTCTAGATCCACTTGCGGAACCTCGGCCTACCCCAGGGACGGGGGGAGCAGGCCGGGGAGGAGGTAGGAAGTGTCACAAGGTTCTTGGTAGGATCGACTCCTCTGACCTTGCCGCGATGATTTGGATGCGGCGCTTGCCATTCCTGGCAGGCATGGAGATGCGACCTGGCGTTGCTGGTGTTCGACCCTTCCTCCCGGGAAAGCGTAGACTTCATCACGCCTTTGCTGGTGAGCATCCCAAAGATGGGCGTTGTTTTGCTTCTTGCCCAAGCAGTGGGAGCTTGACGTGCACTTCGCGACAGTAGTCAGGCGTTGGACGTCCATATATGTTTTTGTAGCCTCAAATGTAGATTCCCTTGGTGTACTGTATGTCCGTCCGAATGTGGCTCGCGGGTTGGTCAGATCGAGAGTCTTCCCGGCACCCCCTCTTTGTGGCGGTGCATGTGTCGTCTCCCCTTCCCGGTTGGCTTCATACAGTAATCGTGAGCCCTCTGTAGGGCGGGTGCCCGCTATTGTGCGGGTTGAAATTGCTGGCATAAAGGGAATATTCACGACGGTGAATGCATTGAATAGTGCTTGTGCCCTGCATAGGGCGGGTGAATCGGTCTGGCGCATACCCGCCTTATAGAGGGACTCCGACTGTGGTGTGGAGGCCTTGCGGTGCCCCGTCGATGTGTTGTGGGTGCACACAGTAGGTACCAAGCAATGCAATGCCAAAGATGCCCGCTACGCTTTGAGTGTCCTGCACGTTTTTTTCGAGTTTTCCTTCGCGATATGCATGTGTGCATGTTTTTTTTTTTTCGAGTGTTTATCTCACCGGGGAGGTATTTTTCGAGATATTTTGAATAGTGGCTACAGGTTTTCCCTCACCCTGATCGTTCCCTGTAACTGTCGTTGTTTTTGTTGCTGTTCCCGTCTCCTGCCGAATGAAAAAAATACGCGGGCCGGGTTTCCATGTTGTCACCAGGCGAACATCCCGCAGGGAGTGCCTAGGCTTCTCGTGTCTTGCGAATCATCACGCGGGGTTAACCCCTCTGTTGTCCGCATCGCCCAACAAAAGTGCAAGGTGAGCGCTTGTGATACGCCACATGTTCTTGTTGCACAATCCCCTTTTTCAGTTGTGCCTAAGACGTATGTTCTGGCGAGCGGTTACCTTCGTTTAGAGATATATCTATATATATATAGATATATAGGATTCTTTCATGTACCATTTTGCAAGACTCAGAAACAGCATGTTTCGATAGCAAATTTCCCTTCAGATCTATGTGTATGCTTGTACTGTTATTGGTTTCAAAGATGTGCTGTCATGGTTCAGAGTACCAATAATGTTGTAAAACCCGTGTATCACATACCCCTTTCCTCCTTTCCCCCTTGAGCTCCAAACGAGTGTTGAGGTTTTCGTGAACGACATCGGTAGAAAGCAGTAGTAGACTTGAGTGGGATCCACGGCCAATCCTTGAGTTCGCTTTTTCTGCTTGGGATGCACAGCAACTGCTAAGCAAAGCGGTAGTGTTGTGCTTCCATGATGCCGATATATTCACGTCATGGAGCACAACTTAACGCTGGCAGCAAGCTGCTCCCAAGCCGTGCACCGATCGCGTCCGTGCGGTCCGCCGGCGCCTTCTTGACTGCACCCTCGTTCCTCTCTTTCTTGCTGGCTGATGGTCGCACGGCAGGAGCTGGAGCTGTCGCCGGTTGTCGCGGTGAATCTTTCCACGGGTTTAGGTCTGGAAGGGGACGGGCAGCTCAGACAGAAAATAACGGGTCCTGTGTGGTACGTCGGCGGCATGGGGTCGGATGTTGGAAATGGTACATTTCACGACTGTACCCTTTTACGCACGGGTAATACACACGTTCGTTTTACCTTCCTGCTCGCGTCTTGTTCTTGTTGAGCTTCGCCCGTTATTTTTTGTGTACCGTATGTGTTGAACACGTATAACCAAGCAGGTTGTGCGTGTCGAATCCCCCGGAGATTATGGTACCCGTGGATGGACAGACGTTTATCGTTTCTCGAAAGTTTGAGTGCGGTGTCTCAGCGCTCTCAGTCAGCGCTCTGCTGACAACTGCTGCAAGGACGCTGGTGAGCCTACCCTCAGCACCCCTTCCCTTGTTGTGTTACCCCTCCCCCGTCAATGCGCCACCCTACTACTCCAAAACTGCCCCGCCCGCCACCCGCCTTGCCCCAACCACACAGCATGGGGATGCTGCCGTTCGAGGAGAGACACCGCAAGGCCGACCGCAACCGCAAGATCTACATCGCCGTTGCCGCCCTGGCCGTCGCCGCCGGACTTGTCTACGCCGTCTCCTCCTCCACCGAGCAGTCCGCTTCGGCAGCCGCAAATCTCGCCGATACCGGCGGCAGTGGGAGCCGGGGGGCGGGGTGGAAGGCGGGGGTTGGGGGCGCTCTGCGCGCGCCCATGCGCGCGGCGAAGCGCGCGGCGGCGGCAGCGGCGGACTATTGGAGGTGTTGGAGATCGGGGAGATCGGGGGACGGGGGGGAGGTGTTGGGGGGATACGTGGGAGCTGTAGGAGGTAGTGGCATTTAACAAGTGGAGGCGTTTTTGTCAAGGGTAGGGGGTAAAGCGGTCAGAGGTGTTGTGTTGCGCCCGGCGCACATAAAAATAGGAATTCTCTCTGAGTGCATTTGGTGGTGGTTGTTAGCCCTCAAGTCATGACGAAGTTGTCGCAATCTTTTCCACGAGTGGTTTTTGTTTTTTTATCTGACAATGGCACATGTTCGTGGGCTTGAACAATTTTGCTATCTAGTCGCTACTTTTCATGGTTAACAACGACCAATTAGAATCCATACGGACCATCGTCCGAGGATATGGGTGCGCCTACATGAACGGGTCTTCCTAGAAAATGTCTTCATCCAAGGCAGTTAAGGTTGAGGACATCGGCTTGCCCCCAGCTGATTCAAACAATGCATGGAGGATTGATGTCGTCTCGTTCTAGGCCCAATCAACTAGAACAATACGCCGCAATGTCAGATGGCGAAACAAACGCTACTGCTGCTGTGCATTCTTCGGATGCTGCGACCATCTGTGCCCCAACACGGGAACAAGTGTCGTTCTGGTTTTTCCGCTTTGCCAACTGACGAACTCCCCTCTGCGACGACCCTTCCCTCTGTGACGAATTCTTCCCTCTGTGACGACCCTTGCCTCTGTGACGAATTCTTCCCTCTGTGACGACCCTTCCCTCTGTGACGAATTCTTCCCTCTGTGACGACCCTTCCCTCTGTGACGAACTCTTCCCTCTGTGACGAACCCTTCCCCTCTGTGACGACCCTTCCCTCTGTGACGAATTCTTCCCTCTGTGACGACCCTTCCCTTTGTGACGACCCTTCCCTCTGTGACGACCTTTCCCTCTGTGTTCCCTCTGTGACGACCTTTCCCTCTGTGACGAACCCTTCCCCTCTGTGACGAACTCGCCCCTTTTGTGACGGACTCTTCCCTCTTGTGTATCGATTAATACCCCAATCCTCGACGAGAAGTAAGACAGTAGATCAGGGTAGACGCCATCGGTGCAGGCCGAGGGCGATAGAGCAGGCAGGCCGATTGAAAAGCATTGGCAACAGTCTCGGGGGTGCAAATCTTGCTGAAGATCCGATCGACGTCCTTCGGAACTTCGGAGGGTTGTTGTGTGGCTGATTCCCACATCACACAAAATTCTGTCTCCGTTCCTGCGAAATACTTTCATAAATTTATTTGGGCAAGCAGCGTTATTATTTGTTCGTCGCCGACACCTCCTCTTCTTCCTGTCTCACATCTTTGTCTTCTTCTGTCGAAAGAAAATGATCCGTCCACCCTCAACATGCAGATGTTCACCAAGCGCATATTTTTCGCACATGCATATACATGTATACCCGACTGCTGCCGAGAACACACATTGGAACAAGGGACTGGGGACGGGGCGTCGAAGGGAGGAATGGAATTACCTTGGATTTGTTTACATGGCGAGAATTGGCACGATCTTGCGTGAAATCGAATGTACGCCTTACCGTAGGCGCACAGAGTGTGCTGCGCGCTAGCCAAGACGCAAGGCTAGGTACGAAGTAGCCACCGTGTTTGGTTGCCGTCCCCGGACCCCGGGCTTGGGGGGGGCACGCGACCTGAACTGATCCTGTGTGGTGATATACCCTGTGAGGGTCCTCGGCATGCCACTGGCCTCCCCTGCTCTTGGCCACACCCACTTGCTGCTTGCTAGCACAGCACTGGTCGCCCCGGTGGTCTAGTGGTATCCTCGCAATCCGCTAGTCACAGAGGTCATGAGTTCGAATCCCCATGGGGTGAAAAATTTACTAAATTATTTGCGGGTGAAAGCGAAATACAGCTAACAAGCTCTCGTGAGTACCAAACTTCGACGTTAGCACCGTTGACGAGGGAAAGGGACGGCTGGACCCTTCTCGCGATAAAAATAAAATTCAGCACGCACCGCAGGAGGAAGGTGGGGCATGGAAATAAATAAAAAAAAGAAAAACGCCCTGGTATTTACCCCCTCCTGTGTGACCCTGGATGGTTGTAGTTGTACGAAAAAATACGCTGCAAAGTGTAGTACTCTACATACGCTGAAAAGTGTAGTACACGTCTCACCACGAAAAATGGGGGGACTGTCACCATAATAAAAATGACGAAAACACACACACACACACACATCTAGCTGCTGACACTATGACTGTTGGATCTTGGGAGTAGTGTAAGATTATCAAATTGGGAGATGCAGCATACCTCAATAGTAGTAGTAGTGCAGGTCCGGCACTATTATTGAGGAGACGTTTAATTTCAAGGTGTGTGTGGCGCTCATGCTTTGCGGGGCTAAGAGAGTACCAAATTGATCGAAATACAGGAGTAGTGCTGGGCCCCCTGTTCTATCTAGCGTGGGCGTGGGCAGACTGTGCCGCGACGCGTGTGGTTCCCCCCTGTCGCACACACACAGATGTTGTAGAAAAATTTACTTCCTGCCCCAACACTCGTCGTACTATACTGCACACCGTGAACTGTCGCACGAACCAAACTTCAACAGAGTAGTACTTGATGAAGCTATTTCTCAGCCCTCGCTGCCCGCTCGTTCGATGTTTCAAGATATATTCTACAGTCTAGAACTACTAGTCTAAAAAAAAAACACGCCAGGAAGCGCAATAATACAAGAAAACAAACAACAACCACTACTAACAACATATTCGCCTGATTGAGAGCGTAGCATCTGATTGAGAGCGAGATTGCGCGATACGCTGTAAGTAGCCGGACTACCACTGAGAGGTGGAGCTTGCTGTGTAGCTTGAATTGAAGGGCTAGCCCGTAGCTTCAAGCCGCTACCCTGGTCATCCTGTGGGAGTCTCTCGTTGTGGAGCTACAGCGGGGAGCAGAAGCTACAGCAGAGCCCACCGCCCGACGCGATACCGCCCTGAAACAGTTTGAGCAGAAATAGCCAATCTGGGCAAATCTAGCAACTTGTCTAGCTCCTCGCTGCAGCATCCGATGACGATGACACGCATATGCTCGCGAAGCTGCTGATGAGACCTTCAATTTGCACCGCTTCTTGGAATAGCCCGTCCCCTACTTGCCAAGAAATGGCAAGAGGCGTCTGGACCCGAAATTTCAATTTTTTTGGCTCTCGCTCTCAATCAGATACTTCGCTCTCAATCAGGCGAATATGTTGTTTACTACTGCTATACAGCTGTACCTCCCGCCCTCATTACGTGGCGAAAAATCTCCCATGTCTGCCTGGCGCATCCATCAACTCGAGAATCTCAAGTTTCGTGTGGTTGTCCAGCCGCGCACGAGAACCAGAACCCTTCGTACTCCCCCCCTTTGTTTTCTTCGGCCGTGTAGTCTAGACTGTCCCGCCCCAGCACCCTCGGCTGGTCGTGTCGCTTTGTGCTTGCTTGGCGACGCACTTGCTGCAGATGCGGTGCTTTTCGTCGTCCTCAAACATGCTGCCGCAATTACCGTGGAGCCGCCCGCCACACCCTCCCTTAAAAGGTGGCCATGAGGGACTTCTTGCGGCGGTCTGTCTTGTTGATGGCACAGAGTTCACCCTCCGCACAAGGCATGGTGTGTCTCTGCGTAGAGCTCTTCGGGTCTGCAGCAGCACATACATGTACCCTGGTTTCTGTGTTGTTGCGTCTGCCCGCTGTCTTGTCCGTGTGTGTTGTCATTATTAGCATCGACCGCGCTAACCGGCTGACAATGAAAAGACGTCGTCAGTCTTAGTGCGATTGACAAAAAAAAACACTTCTAGACTAACTAGTCTAAATGCCACTAACAACTGGGACTCCGTGAGGGGGCGGCTTGAGGGAGGCTCGTATCAAAGACAGAAACTGTAGCAACAGAAGAAAACTGCACGTGTCGATGAAGGCTGCTTGCTACCTTACACTCTAGTTCGTTTTGGGGTGCTTTCACCGCCACCCTCCTTCCTTCCAACTCCATCGTTCTCACTTATCGTTTTTGCGTGTGTTTTTATTGTTAGCATCGACCGCGCTAACCGGCTGACCGATTAAAAGACGTCAGTGCCAGCGGGTAACAATCAAGGTCCCTGAAAGGGGGCCGAAATTCGAAAAATGCGCAATGCGCTTGATGCGAATGCCAATACGACTCTCTTTGCATGTTCTTTAACGTAGACACACATCTCAGCCACACAAATGCCCTCGCTCGAATCTAGGAAGCCACTGATGCAAAGAGCGGAGGACAGCAAAAGGTCTATTTCAAGCCCAGCCGAAGCCAGGATATCGTGGTATGCGGCATCTCCCAATTTGATTATCGTGCACTCCCAAGTGTCAGCAGCTAGGTGACTCAAAACAAAATAGCAACACGTACACTGCCATAGCTCCACACACGCCCTCGCCCGAACCTAGGAAGCCACTGATGCAAAGAGCAGAGGACAGCAAAATAAAAGGGTTATTTCAAGCCCAGCCGAAGCCAGGATATATATCGTGGTATGCTGCATCTATCTCCCAATTTGATAATCGTAACACTCCCAAAGATCCAGCAGTCATCGTTTTTTTTTTTTTGTTTTTTCTCCCATCATTGGACTCTGTTGTCTGCCCCTCTGGCCCCTATCCTCCACTTCTAGTAGCTGGACGACCCAACCGGGGTCACATAGGAGGGGGGGGTTGGACCCCCTCCTGCGGTTCATGCCTGAGGTATTTTTATCGCGAGAAGGGTACAGCAATCCCTTCCCTCGCGACTTACGAAGTCGATTATGGTTTACTAACAAACGAGCTTTGCAGCGCGTCGCTTTCATCCTAGACCAGGATTTATTTAGTGAGAAAAAAACTCTCTCTGCCGGGACTCGAACCCATGACCTGGCCCTTAGCAGGCTGCGAGGCTACCCACTAGACCACCGGGGCGACCGGTTATCGTGTCAGCAGCTAGCTAAATAGACAGGTGACTCAGAACAAAATAGCAGCACGTACACTGCCATAGCTCCACACATGCCCTCGTCCGAACCTAGCAAGCCACTGATGCAAA